GAAAAGGAAAATGGAAGAATTTCAAAACTGGTAATTCAATAATCTTACCTGTTTTTGAAATACTGTTTAAACAATGCAACTTTCACCCTATATAGGTATTTTAGTGCAGTAATCTAAATTATATTTTATTTCTTCACATTCAGATGTCTTCTCAGGAAATTATAAGTCTAGACAGCTCAAAAGCAGCAATTTTTAAGAGAAGAATGTAGATGTAGAGATCCTATATTTCTACCATGATGCATAATTGAAGCAGAATAAATAAATGAAAAAGAATTTTCATTCTTTTCCCTCTCTAAGGAATAATGCTGTTTTCTGTTTTAAAGCAAAACATTATCTGTTCATACTAACTCCAGTTCCAGTATTTGCATAAGCTGTTCATGAAGAAACAAGTGATGAATTTGGAAGAGGGAATGTTAGAAAAAGTAAAAACAATATCAATTCCAGAGTTAATTCTGACTTCCTTTACGAATAAGTAAAGTTCATAGTATATAGTTTTCAATAATGAAAGGCAAAGGCCAATTCCAGCAACAGCACCTAGATTGAATGCTAATAACTAGAATTTCTGGACTCTGTTCTAGATGCAATTATTATAATTTTATAGAATCTGAATTTTATTCATTCCCTCACAATTCCCTGTAGCTTGAGCTAGTGAAATGGCTCAGCAGATAAAGGTGCTTACCACAGAGCCTGGAGGCCTGAGTTTGATTCTTGGGACCCACATGGTTAAAGAGAGTGGAATTCCATAAGCTGTTGTCTGACTTCCATATGCATACTGTGTGTCACTCATGTGACCATATACACACAGAGAGAATAAAATTTAATAAAAATTCATCATCTCTTCACAATCATTGCTATATTATTAATGCCTTTACACTTAACTATAAACATATTAATAAGTAACATTATAAATAAGTACAGATACTTAATATAAAAAATTAGATAAATAGCAACTTTAAGATACAAAAGTAATAGGGGGTAACAGGGAGAATTCAACCACCAAGACTTTTGCTTACACAAAAATAATAATTGACACAAATTAAAATAAAATACAACTTAGGATAGCTTTGGCTTACAATTACAGAAATCCTAAAAGAAAAGTTTGTAGCTATAAGTGGTTACATTAATAAAAAAAAAATCACAGGAACAATGTAAACCCCAAAGCAACAGATGGAAAGAAATACTAAAAATTAGGACAGACTCAGCAACAAAAGACCAAGTGAATAATATGTAGAATCAATCAGACACAGTGCTTATTCTTTGAAAATTAAAATAAGATCATCAAACTCTTAGCCTATCTAATCAAAAGACAGAAAAAACAAAATTAATACAATTAGAAGTGAGGTTACAACGGATTTTAATGAAATCTAGAGGCTCATTTGAGAAAATTTTGAAAACTTTGTTTAAAAACAAAACTCAGAAATCTGGAAGAATGGATAAATTCCTAGACATGCATAACCTACAAAAGTTAAACAAGGAGGTATAAGGAATATAAGTAGATCCATAGTAAAAATAACAGTGAAGCAGTAGTAGTCTCCCAGGAGAGAAAAGCCCATGACTGCATAGATTCCCTGTTAATTCTAACAAGTCTTTAAAGAATAATTAATATCTATGGATCTTAAACTTTTCAGTAAAACAGAAAAAGAAGGAAGCTTATTAAACACATTTTACAAAGCCAGCATAACCCTGATACCAAAACTGGATAAAGACACACAAAAAACACAGATCAGCCCGGGGCACATGCCTTTGATGCCAACACTCAGGAGGCAGAAGCAGGTTGATATCTCTGTGAGATTGAGGCCAGCCTGGTCTACATAGCAAATCCAAAAACAAAAACAAAAATAAAATTAAAAGACAATTACAATTTTTCCCTGATGAACATAGATATAAATATTCTTAGTAAAATACTTGTAAACCGAATTCAAGGAACCATTAAGAGGAGGTTGTGGAGGAGAGGAATAATTTTATATATATTAATATATTTATATAAAAGAGGTTAATTAGAGTTACCCTACACAAGGGATAATGAACATCCCAGAAACCATAGGTTGCCAAATAAAAAGCCTAGTGCCAGATATGGATACCTCCCCTCAAGCTCTTAATCATGAGTGTCCCAGAGAACCCCAAAATAGTACACTCTATTGCCATTGCTTTTGGTTGCCCACCAGAACTCAACTGTAAGATCCTATTACTGAAGACATCACACACTTTGTTCATAAGACATAGAGAATCAAGTTAGTAATGACCAGGAAGCTTCCTATCTGCTGGCTAGTTCTCACAGTATTAAAAGGTGCTGTGCTCTCTGCAGTTTCTTATTCTCTTCATGTTGGCCAGTTGTGGCCATCGGTGTGCATGACACTCTGTTGCATGAGGAAACTTTGTGGTGAGTGTTGAGGGCTGCATTAGCATTCTCTCTACACCCTCTTCCATTATATTCCCTGAGCCTTAGGTGTAGAGGTTCCACTGTAGATGTGTCACTTAGAACTGGACATCTCTCAAACACATATTCTCTGTGTGGGGGCAGTTGTGGAACTCTGTAATAACCTTTGACAGCATGCAAAAAACCCATGAAAACTCAATCAGACAAAAACCCAACATATAAATGAGGAAAAAGGCAGAAGGCCACAACCTTAGCCAAGGAACTATTGGCAATTGATTACTGCTGGGTAAAGGAGAGTGATGCTAGATAGACTGACTACACTCCAGTGGATGAACTTGTACTAAGGGACTTCTAGGTATAAAAGCTTAACTCAATATGTCTTAACATATATGAAAGAATGCATGAAATCTGGTAGGGGAACAATGGGAGGTACAGAAGGGGGAGGGAGTCTAAATATGGTTAAGATTTATTGTATGAAATGCACAAAAATTCACTTAAAAATATACATTTAAAACAAAAAATGGTATATGCAGGCTGCTGGGCAAAGAAAAGTCATCAATAGTCTTGCTCCGCTATGAACCCTGTGAGCTACAATAAAGACAGGAATGGCAACATATGACCACGTTCTGACTGGACTTAAGACCTGCTCCACAGGAGCAAAGAAGTTGCTTTGTGTATTAATTCAGAAACTCATAGCTTGTCAAAATGTCGAGCATGCCTGTCTGTGGAATTCTCAGACACAGATAGGATGCCTATGGCACATCTCCTTCTCCCAAGACTCAGGGACCATGATGGAAGAGACAGCAGAAAGACTGTAAAAGTCAGAGGTCATGGAGGACCAGACTAAAACAGTGTCTTCTGGAAATGACAGGATCCCTGCATTCATAAATTCACAGCAGCTGTGGTTGCTTACAAAAGACCTGCATAATATCAAGGCAGTTAACATTCTACCATGGGTGAAGAAGGGCTTATGAGCCCCCATCCTGAGCTGAGGAATTATTGACAGCTGATGTCTTCTGGGAGAGGAAAACTCTATTTTCTTGAGGGTGTGGCCTTTGGTACATTGCCTACGCTTGAGTGGATGGCCTCATACCCATGAATATATGAATAACAAAAACTGGACTGAGTGAAATTTTTTTTAAAAAAAGAAGGCTGTGGCACTAGCCTGTGTAATTTTTTTGGGGGTGGGGGGGTCTCTTGGACTACCCTGGCCAACAACTCAAAGGGAGGTTTCTCCTGTCTGGCACTGTTTCTTGCTATATAGCTTTCAGCTATACACAGGGAGTCATGTAGAGTATTGCATATGTAATTTTTCAGTAGGTTTCTAAACTGACTGCCTCCCAGAACTTGAAGACAAGACCCTATTGCTGAAGGTAGAACATATTTTGGACACAGGATTTGGAACAATGAAGCTGGAACTGACCTAGAAGCTACTTCCCCTGAAGGCTAGCTCTCATAGTTTTGGAGAGCACTTTGCAAGCTTCAAAGGGAGAGCATCAATCGATAGTACAACCCCAGCTTTAAGGCCTAATAACCACAACAATGACCATCAAGGCAAACTGTATTGGGGCAGTAGTGGCACTTTTATCTTGGGGGTAACCAACAGCTACTTAATTGAATTTAAAGCCCATTCAATGGGAGAAAACTCATGTGTAGTACTGTAAACAAAACCAAATACACATTGCTAGAGAGGTCTTAGATCTTAAAGAAAAGCTTAAGGCTGTTACATCCCTAGACAAATATAATTTCTTACTATGTGCAAAATATGGATCTTTTTATTAACAGAGAAGTATCCCAGTCACCACTCATCAAAGAAGATTCTTTTGCAACAGATATAGACTATTACAACTGGTCATACTCAGAGATTGTCTGTGAATTGCCCAACCCTAAGTGATACATCTACAATGGAACCTCTACACCTAAGGCTCACAGAACATAGTGGAATAAGGAGTAGAGAGAATACTAATGCATCTCTCAACTCTCAACAAAGAACTCCACAAAGTTCCCTCATGCAACAGAGAGCAAGGAACACAAAAGGACACAAATGGCCAAAGCATACAAAATAGAGTCTTTATTGTGTAAGTCCTTAGACTGGATCCCTATATTAAACTTTACCCACCCAGGGCTCAGGGACCAGTGTGGAAGAGGGTGTGGAAAGATTCTAAGAGCCAGGAAGGAGGTGCATGACAATACGGAAAGGACTTCCTGAAAAGAACTCTTATTGCACAAGCAGCAATCCTAAAAATTGGTAGATGAGATTATGCAAAATTATAAAGATTCCACACAGAAAACAATCACCAGAATGAAGAGAAAGCCCACAGAATAAGAAAAAAGCACCGTAAAGTGATTAATAGAATTTAAAAAAAAATTTCACTTACTATTATTTTTATTTTATGTGTATGAGTGTATTGCCTGCATGTAGGTAAGTGCATCCATGTAATGCAATGCCTGCAGAGGTTAGAAAAGGGTCTTGGATATCCTGGAACTTGAGTTACGGTCCATTACTAGTCTCCATATGGGTGCTGTGAATCAAACTCTGGTCCTCTCCAAGAGCAGCCAGTGTTCTTAACCACTAAACTAGCTCTCCAATCCCAATAGCTAGAATTTAAGAATGCTAAAATTTATCCCCTGACAAAGAGCAAAGAGACACTTCATTGGTGGTGGTGTTCTTAAATCAATCAGGGGCAGAGCAAATGGTAGTCCTTTGTTCATCCTAGCTTGACACCTGGCTCGGTGGCTAATACTGTTTCATGCCTAGGACACAATCCTACTGCTAAAGGAAAAAAAAAATAATAATGCTAAAATTAAATAGTAAAAAAAATCCAAGCACCCAATGAATAAAAGAGCTAATAAACAGAATAAACGCTTCTTAAAGGAAGAAATGAAAATGGCTATTAAATGTTTGAAAGGGCAGTAAAATCTTTAGCCATCAGGGAAGCGCAAATTAAAATATTTGAAAGTCCATCTTATCCCCTCTGTAAAGAAAAATGAAATTATGACACTTGTAGGAAAATATATAGAGCTAGAGCTCAGAAAAAATATTACATATTTTCTTTCATATGCACAATATATATATAGTCTGACATATATTCATACATGTCATATATATATATATATACATATATATGACAGAAAAGTAGAAACTGAGCAATGAAAAGGGAGAAAGAGGTTAAAGAGGAGGAAAGATTTAGCAGAGGTAGTGTGCAGTCACCTCCAGTGGCGGCCGCTCCTCCGTTCTCACGGGTGCCACTCCTTTGTCACAGACATCAAGGTTGCTCCTCTGCTCACCCTGGGCTGAGGCTGCTCTTCTGCCTGCCCAGTGCTGAGGCTGCTCTTCTGATAGCCCGGTGCCGCCTTCTGTCATCACTGCTTCTGCCCAGTCCCAGACCCCAGGGCTGGTGAGGAGACTGTGTCAGCGGAGCCGCATTCAGACACAGGAGACCAGGTTCAGTGACACAGGTCTGCTTTATTGCAGGAAGGCACAAGCTTATATAGGGGTAGTGGTCCAATCACAGCACAGCAAGTAGGATACCTTATTAGCATAACAGGTTTAGCATCCTATTAGCATAACAGACTTAATGTCCTATCACAGAATAGTGGGTAGGATGCCTCATTAGCATAATGGGTTTCAGATTACAGAGCCTGGATCCTGGAAACCACATGACTGTGACTGTTGCAATATCTAAGTGTTGCAATTTGGAATTCCAAGGGTGGTGATTAGAGAGTGGCAAGTTCTAGGCATCAGTCTCATGATCTGCCAATGGGAGCAAATGTCACAAAGCATTCCTTGTGGCTCCAGCAGTCGGGCCGTTGCCTTGGGCCTGCTGTATGGCTGTCAATAAGACTTTCACCCTAGGCTCAAGCCTGTCTCCCACAGTAGTAGACTACATGTGTCATGAAAGTGGGAAGGGAACTATTTGGGAGGAGGATGGATAGCACCAGAAGTGGAGAGGGTGGCTAGGGAAGGCAGGTATGCAAATAAAAACAAAAGTATGATATATATGTGTGAAAGTGTCATAATTATTTCCATTTTTAAGTGCTAACCAGAAACTAGCTTGAAAGTAAATTAACATAAAAGAAAACAATAATAAGACAAGATAAGATAGAAATTTAGGGGTAAATTTTGAGCTAGCCTGGTCCTAATTCTTTGCTAGAAAGGACACTCACAGTCTGGTGAGGCATTAAGATCAATCATTTTCTCTGCATCTTGCACATCATCTAGTGTTTTCAAGCTCAGTTGTCCTATGAACAGGCTGAATCCCTTCTCGAGCTTGAGATCTTGAGAAGTTTTAATTTTTCTTTGAGACAGGACTTTAATCATTCTGCTCCTAATTTGGGCCTAGGTCTGTTGTTTGCAGTAGAAATTTCTGTTTCTGAAAGTCCTTGATAGCCTCCTTTTGGTTTACTCCTATGTTTTTGTTATATACAACTAACTTTCTGAGAAATCATGCATGACATGTAAATTTTCTGAATCCGTGAATGTCTGAAATTATGTTATTGTGTTTTTACTTTTTTTGCTTTGTTTTGTTTGGACCTGGTCTAGTCCAAAATTATTAAATAGCTGAGGAGACTTTGAACTCCTAATCCTCTTGCCTCTACTTGCCAAGTGTTGGTATTACAGGTATGATCTACCACATCCAACTTGTGCAAAAAGAATTGTGTTTTGAAAGGCAATTATCATCTCCCACTACTCAGTACTACTATTGAACTATCTAAGTAAAAGCATACATCTGAGATATTGTTGGTATCAGACCACTACAAGTATATATCTCAATAAAATGAGTCACAGGAGTCTTTTGGCATTTTATTTATCAATGCATGTCAAAGTCATGCTTAAACTATAGTAGTCAAGAGTGCAATAGCATTAAGACTAAAAAATACAGTGCTGGAGAGATGGTTCAACAGTTAAGAGCACTGGCTGCTCTTGCAGAGTACCAGGGTTTAGTTTCCAGCATGCACATGGTTACTAACAACTGTCAGTAATTCTCATTCTGGGAAATTCAACACCCTCTTCTGGCCTCTTCAGCCATTGCACTACACAGATGTACTTATATGCATGCAAGCAACACACTCATACAGACAAATTTTTTAAAAAGACTAGAAAATACTTATACTTTAATAATATTAGCACTGAAATATTAAAATAATTTGAAACTTCAGAGACTCATAATGCTTTGGTTGGTGGAAAATCTTGCCTTGATCTTTGTGACTGATGACCACTCTTGGTACGTGGTTGGGGTAACTGCAGCAATTTCGTAAAATAAAATATCAATGAAGTCTGCCACATCCATTGACTCCTATTCATGAGTTATTCCACTACAGCGTGTGATGCTGTGTGACAGCTTTTTATTACAGGATGTCTTTCAAAAGTGGGAGTCAGTCCTTTCAAAAAGCTGTTATTTTGTCAAATAATTCATGCAGTATTTGAAGTCCTTCATGGTCATGTTAACAATGCTCACAATATTTCATAGGAGTGGATTCCATCTCAAGAAAGTGCTCTGTTTTCTCACACATCATAAGGAACTACTTATCCATCAAAGTTTTTTCATAAGACTGTGTTCAATTGTAATCTTCAGGGTCTAATTCCAGTTCTCCCACTAGTTCCACCACACTGATTTTCTTCACTAAAGCCTTAAACCCCTCAGGAGGGTTGCAGGAAACATCTTCCAAACTCCTGTTAATGTTGACATTTTGACCTAGTCCTATGAATTATAAAAAGGTTTTAAGGGCATCTAGAATAATGAATCCTTTCCAGGATTTCATTTTACTTTGCCCAGATTCATCAGCAGAATCACTCTATGTATGTTCACAGAAATAGACTTTGAAATGTATTTGAGGGTCGAAATTACTCCTTTTTCCATGGACTGCAGAATGAATGCTGTTACCAAGTATGTTACTTACCTTACTCATTCCTGTGACAAAAATACCTAAGCAACTTAAGAAAGAAGGGTTTCTTTCGGCTGGGTTTGAAGGTACAGTCCATTATGCTGGGGAAGCGTGGTGGCAGGATTCTGAGGCAGCTAGTTACAGTGCATCCACAGTTGGGGAACAGCGAATGATGAATGAGATACTTGGCTCTGCTTTCTCCTTTTTATTCAGTCCTGGACCCTGCTGACAGAACCGTGCCATCCATATTCAGGTTGGTCTTACTTCCTCAGCTAAATAGACACATCCAGAGGTTCATTTCCTAGGTGATTCTAAAACCTAATCTAGTCAAGTTTACACTGACAATTAACCACCATATCAGACATGAAAACAATTTCATTATACATCATTGGGTGACCAGATACTTCATCAGTGGGTGGTAATATTTTGAAAGGTATCTGTGGTTCTAATAGTACCTATCAACAATGGGCTTAAGTTTTTAAGTAGGTCATGTTGTAAACAAATGTGTTATTATTTAGGCTTTGTTATTCTATTTCTAGAGGATAGACAGAGTCCATTTATATGGGCAATTACAATACAGTTGCAGGGTAATTACAATCACAAGGGTAAAATCAAGTCATTTCATCACACATTATAGTAACAGTGGTAACAGCTACTGATAATGATAAAGAAAAACATTGAAACATTACAAAAGTTACAAAACCTGCCGGGCATGGTGGCGCATGCCTTTAATCCCAGCACTTGGGAGGCAGAG